GATTGCACCTCGCATCGGCGAGGAATATACCAATTATTTATTTCTTTATTTAGTAGTAGTAGTACTGGTGGTAGTAGTGGTAGCAGTAGTCTTAATATCGGTGTAGGTTCCGTCGGCGCTAACTAGAGGAGAACATAGTAGCACCAACATCAAAATGAGAGAGAGAGATAATCAACTCCATTCACTGACACTACAAGGTAACGCTGCTTCGCGCGCTTCTTAAGTAGAGGAAACGATCGTAATAGACACATCCGTGGGATACACAGAAAAGCGTGTGGTCACAGCATTGGAACAGCGTAGTCCTCCTCATCACTCTTAGTGTACTGTTACCGTGCTTTTACAGACATAGTTTCGATCGACATAATCCATGACGCAGCAGAGGGGCGGTCTGTCCCGAGTGGCATGTGACAGGGGAGGGCACTTTTAGTACCGATGATTTTCTGATACCAAGTATAAGGGGCCAAACATAAGGAGAAGCTGAGGGTTGAATAGGTTACTTTGAATGACCAAAAAGACAGTTGTGCCACGTGTCATACGTGTGAGAACGTTCTTCCCAGCGACCCCCTACCATTCAAAGTAGAAAACATCGCATTGGGCAAGTACATGATAGACATGACTATACGTATTTGCTTGGCACACACGGGGATTGAAGACCAGTTGCCAGGAGCGTGACCTTGGCGTGCTCGTACAGTGCGACCTCAACTGCTCAAAACAGGCTGATATAGCTGCGAAAGCAGGCAACCAGTACGTCGGCCTGCTGCGAAGGGCATTCGGGAGATTTGACTTATTAATCTTCCCAGTGCTGCACAATTCCTACGTGCGCCCTCACGTTGAATACGCCATCTAAGTGTGACATCCCTGATTGAAGCGAGACCGAGAGACGTTAGAAGCACCACAACGAAGGGCAACGAAGGATGTAAAGGGCGCAGGCAATTACGCTTATCACCGAAGGATGAAGTTGCTGGGAGCTTTCAGCTGAGGCTACTGGAGGATGTGAGGCGATGAAATATTAGTGTACCAAATCTTGAGTGATCCCACCAACGTATGCCGCCATTTGCTGAAACAGCCACAACAAGCAGCTCAGGGGTATCTGCTTGAACTTGAGTGAACAATAAAACCATCTAGTGTTTAGGCGGAAGTACTTTTCCTATCGGGTTTGTCAACCGTGGAACTCTCTCCCAAACAGTTTTAACCCTCCCCTACTAGGGACCTTTTCAAAAGTGGAATGGATGTTTTTCTTAGTTCACAGCACTTCGTTACCTAAGCTATGCTACTGTGGATTACATCTCTCATGCGCTCCCACCGGATTTATGTATCAAATGGACCCAAGGAGGCGACTCATGAGTGAGCGACCATACTGCACTTTTCACACGCTTTACCTCAACGAGCACTGTACCCCGTGTATTTCCGTATGCTTACATTCGAGTTTTATTTCATACAAACGTTATTTATCAACGCATTTATCTCAGTAAACGCTAGGTAGATGACTCATATACATTTTGATTTCATTGTACTCACCCAAACCATCAAGTGTCAAGCACTTGCTTTAACCCGTGATAAATCTTGGTCCCAGTGTGGTCACTTTCACCACATTCATCTCATTGTCCCAAACGATCATCCATTTAATTGAAAACTAAGCTACACTTTACCTTGAGTCGATTGTGTGGCCTTCAGTTAGGGGAAAATTTTGCCACCGCCCTGGGCGGCCAGACTAGTTGCGACGCCACTAGATGTAGTTCGACGTCGTCCACGCGTACTTCGCGAAAGCGCTTGTTCATCCAAATCATCGCATGCTAGTCCACAAGCTCCAGTACCATGAGAATGGCAACTCAATTCTGGGATTGAATAGATAATGTTCCGTATAAACTTCACTTGGAGAAGATCGTTTGAGGTTCCCTGTCCAACAGGATTGAAGTTCAACGCGGCGCTTTGTAAGGTCCGTCACTATCACCTCGTCTATTCTGGGTCATCATGAAAGTCTAATGAGAACTGTCTTGGATATTCTACTCTGCATTAATGCTATCAAGTTATGACGATCGGTCAGCTAATCTGATGACCACGGCGTTCTTCAACATGACTGTGATGGGGCTTAAAAATTGCACGATTAAAATAGGCTTAGCATTTAGTGTGGATAAGTATCAAGTCGCTCAGATATTTAATGGGCATGCCGACATTCTTAGATAGCGCACACAGCCTGTAGACCAGCACCCAGGAACTAGACCTCGGTTTTCTCACACCAAATGACCTGAATTGTTGAGAACAGTTTGAAGGGAGTTTAGAAACGGACAACCGAAGGCTTAGTTTGTTGCAGGAGTTTCGATCCAACTATCTTCCTCGTTCTGCACAATGTGCGTGCAATGCGCTATCCAAGTCGTGTATTGCCATCAAAGCGTGGTCTTCATGTGTTGGAGGCTCCACAATGCAGGGTAACGAACGGCCGCAAAGAAACATGCAACATCTCTTACCAATAAAGCCGGGTAGTACTCGGAGTTTTGGTGGATACCACTGAGAATGATGTGGTCATCTCGCATGAGCGCACCAAATATTGTATGGACCATATCGCATAAGGCGTCAGTGAAATAGTTACTTGAAACTCATCTAGCAATACACCCAGCAATAATGTCAACAGAAATGCCGATCGCTCCGAGTCTCCCAAATGTATTCGTTTTTACTCACTTCGGCTATTCTCAGAAAACATTGGACATTACTCAGCTTCTTACGCCTTGTTGCATGAACCATGAAGCTATGAATTATTTGCATATAACAAACTTACCGAAACTACATATCACCTGCAAGCGTGAAAAGCAATGCAGTGAGCGGTATTTGATTTTACGTGGCTTGGGGTATGAAGACGGGTGCGAGAAACTAGGACTCTACACTTTGTCCTACCATCGGGTGCAAGTCGACCTCATTATGACCTACCGTATTCTACATCTCGGTGAATTCCCAATGCTAAGGCCAATGCTGCACTTACGAGGGCCATGCAGCACACGCGGACACAGATACAAACTTGTTGTGCCGGATATGAAACGTGTTCCCCACCCACTGTGCTTCGAACGGAGAGTGGTAAACATTTGGAACAGTTTGCCCGAACATGTGATTAGGCAACATCTGTGCAACAGTTCAAAACGTTTTTAGATTTAAATTTTACCGCCATACGATTTAGAGAACGATTGCACACTTATGATGACATATCACATTTGTGAGTCCTGAAATATCGTAAGTCAGATAGTTTAAATGTTACATGAAAACGACAATGATATTCACGGTTGGCAACTTTTATAACGTTTTTCACCATATTTCGAAAGAGTTGTGCAGAGTTCATATCTACTTGCTCTATAATAGTATTTAGTATTCAAGGAACGTTGACTATAACGAACACACGCTGATTTTTTAACCCAAAAATGAAGTTCACAGCTTGCTACTTTCATCAGGAGTCGGTACATTTGCCTCATTCGCGTCTTCGCTCAGACATTATCACCATTCCACTGGTTCGCTTCTTGATTCCGAATCCGAGCGGGACGTGTTGATCCATGATTATTTTATTCGTAACAAAGCATTAAAAATTTCTTTAGTGCATCTAGGGTCTAAGAACGCATTTTCACGGAAGTGACGAATGTGCGCTTTCAGCATGGAGCTTTTGCCAGTAATCGGAAGCCTTTGAGATTTACCTGCATTTAATAGCGTTTGCAGTTGATCAGCGATCAAGAATCAGTCGCCACCGTTGCAGCACAGATGGTCGCACTAAAACAACCTAGGTACTCTGTGAGAACAAGAAAGTGCAAACTCTTCAACGTTTTGAACCTTGTCGAAATACTTAAAATGGGTCTCTTTCCGCTGGGCTTCAGGTTGTTAATAAGCACTCACTGAGTTGATTGATCCAGACAGTGTACTCGAGAACGTCTGGTGGGATGTAAACGTACACTATCCTAAGTTAACATGTTTCCTGATGCACTGTCTGTGTTTGTACTTCACGAGAATATGCTCACCCTTTTGTGTGCCTATCATTCGAACCAGCTCAATAGGCGCTATTCCGTGAGTTCCGCATTGCACCTAATGTCCCACCACCAACTAGCAGCCATGGTATTTTCTCTATGCAGAAATTCATACGTAAACTTTTTCTTAGTCTCGCCACACTATTCATGTCCGGAAATCCAATCTCTTGGTGTTGCGGTACGAACCTAAGCGACACACAAGTTCGAGCCTAGTTGCTATGGTCTATTGGGAACGTCTAACAGCGGTTACACGACTATGTGAGTGCTTGATATAGGTGAATAACAATCAGAAGGAAGAAGAATAGAATTTGCACCTACTAGACTATCATGGTCCACCATATGAACTTCTACTACTTTCTTCGGAAAGTAACTCCTTTCAATTGTTTATTCAATGGTATGTTCATTGATACCTTATTGCCTAATTCGTCCAGATTCTGCCACATGAAACGGACGTGTTCGCACAAACGATTTGAGCACAAGCGTTTAGTACACCACAAAAGAACCGATGCAAACCAACGTAGTAGGATGAAGAAAACGTTAGGTTTGATCTAGAACAGTGAATTAAAGTCCAATGGCCCATCTCTCGCTATAAATGCAATACCCATTACTAGACCTTTCGGATCTACACAACGGCCCATTATCACGAGCTGCACATACTCACCGAGTCATTCGTGTTCAATCACACGACTAGTAAGCAAACAACAGAAGTACACGTTACCATGACTCTGTTCTACTGCGGACACCCGTCATTGTCCGGAAATTATCAGTGGTAAAGAAAAAATATCAAGATCGATTCTGCTAATCAAACCAACCTGCGAGTATGGCATACGAGATTTGCTCACCATGTGAGTGCAACGGCTCAAATTGGAAGTAGAACCCGGTTTGGAAATGAGATTTATGCCGACGAGAGAGCACATGGGGGACTGAGGAACACAAAATCAAAATCGGTCAACCTCAATGAGACCATTCCCAAGGCACCAGTCACACTGTTCACACATGGTCAAATCACAACATTTTCGCCACTATGTAACGGTATACAGTCTGAATCCTTTTGCAATTCCACCCGTTAATCATCCAGGGAAAAGCGGCGTCAGTCGTTTCATTAACGGTCGTGTTGTATTTCCACATATCGAATGCACCTTTCACATACGGAAACAGCTCTTGAACCGATGAAACAATGGCGAATGACCGAGTAGATCGAATGCTCACCTCCGCGTCACCCGGATAAAAGTCAAAATCCTCAGGTGAAAACATCATCAAATGCTTACTGGTAGTCACAACTGGGCAGGAGCAGTCGGCTAGATTCAAGGTGGCATTCCAACTTGCGACATGAGTGGATGAGTCGAATGATGATATTGTTACATTGTATTCATCACCCGAACCGGAGTGCACACTGAACAGGAACACGTTGTTGTAGCCCTTGCAAAGCCCTTGATAGAACTGTTCCACGAGAGATTCGTTTTCCTCCGCTTTAATCACACAGGCGGGGCAGTTGCGGTGCATTGACGTCGACGGGACTGGTGTAGTTAAAGTGGACGTGGGGTACTCAGTTTTATCGGAAGGCGGTTGCAAGTCACCTGGAGTGAACCAAACCGACTCACAATCGTAAAGTGAGTAGTTAACAGCGACCGATTGGTCTGGCGCATAGTAGTCTTTGGCCACAACTTCCGCAGGTTGAGAGTTCTTCACGTATAAATCCTGCTTTAAGGGTACGGTGGCACATCTTTTGGAAGTAGACCGCTTATTAAGTCCAATGGTTCTCACCTCCTCAGAGGTGAAGCCGTTGAAGAATAGTGAAACAGTCCCATCGCCCCCGATTTCCACACTTCGCATTGATTCTCCTTCGTTCACGATCAATCGGAGCAGTTCCTCTCTAACTGGTGACCATCCACTCACCATGCCGATCTCGATGAGCAGCATTCCGGTAGGTTGAGGATTGGAGTCGATATCCGGTAGTCGGAGACATATCGTGATATTGGCAAGCTTGCATGCGTCCTTTTGAGGGAAAGCACCCTGAACTACGCTGGTTACCAGCACAAAGCTCGCATTTTCCACTTCATGCCTATCCGGAACATTGTAAAAGAGTTCAGTTTGGACAGAGAGGTAGGTACCTTGTGAAGTTCCATTTGACGAGACAGCCCACTCAACGTATTTAACATCAGCCGGTATCATCTTCACAACAGAAAATCGGTGGACAACATTCATCTTTGTCTCCGTAAGTGTAGAACTAACCGAAATATTGGCCGGCAGTATGGTGGCGAGAACTGTGAGCTCTTGTGGTTCACTGATGGCCGATTGGTTCAGCCCGAGTCGCTTTGCGCCATCGCTGATTACTTCTAATGCCAAAATGGTGTCTTGAGTGGAACGGAATCCTCCAGTGGCGGATTGCTGAGAGGATAGCCAGCGAACGATAGAGAACAGATCAGAGAACTGCACACCCATTTTGGCCAGAGCTAAGTACGCGTAGCTCGTCGTCTCAATATCTAGCGCACCTGCTTCACCAATAATCTTCTTTCCATCGCTGGTCCAGTAAGTGCCAGATCGGACAGAGTTCGATAACCTTCTTTTAATTATTTCGCTTGCGACAACAGACATCAACGGATTCTGCGGTTCGCAAAAGGCTAACGCCAGTGCCAGCTGCATCAATCCGTAGGTGGACACGTTCTGTAACTGATCGCTGGATGTCATTTCACCCAGCCTTCCCACCTTGAGACACTTCATTCCAGCCTGAATCATTTGACTTAGCTCAGGTGAGTAGGCTTCCTCTTCTCCTTGGGGCTTGGTCTCAACTAACGCAGTCAAAACGTAGGCAGTGAGGAGCTGCTCTGGGCTTAGGTCGAGTTGATTGCCAGTGCCACCTTGCATTGCCGTGTGGATCACACGACCCTTCTCCACAAAGCACCCGGATCCAGTCAGATTCTGACGTTGTTTCAGAAATGCAATTGTTTCGTTGAAAAACACTGCCCAATCGATGGATATACTGCTGTCCACTTTGTGGGCTTTCGCGAACACTCTAAGCACAAACGCAGTCAGCCAAGTGCTTCCAATCTTATCTGATTTGCCGAAGGCCGAATAGGAACCGTCCGATAATCTATAGTTTAGCTGGCGCTGGTACCCCATTAAAATGTAATTTCTAGCTTGGTTCACCAAACTCAGTGTGCGATCAGTGTTGGCTGAGTGCATCGATGTAAGGTAATCCAATGCGTACACACTTGGGGCGACAAGGACCATATTTTGTTCACCACACCCCAATGGAAGACGTATAAGGCTATCTAGATGGTTAAGTGCTGGACCGAGAATATCATCAGAATACGATACGTAGATTCGCAGGGAATCGCTGACAATCTTACTTGGTAGGCTGATTGGGAATGTTTGCTTCGTCGCCGATTCGTTCGGTTGGATGTGAAGGATTCCACCAATAGCTAGTTCCTGAGGGATACCCTCTGGAATAACACGTATCTGTCGCTGAATTATGTCTGAGAGCACGTGTACTTTCACCTCGTCCTCCTTTTGAACAACAGGATCTATTTCCTGGTTGCACAATTGACTACCGACTGTGGCTTGTGCTTCCACGGTCACATTCAGTTTCCCCAGCTGTATTGGTAGCAGTCCAAGTTGGAAAGTTACTTTCTGACTCTCGCAGACACAACCAGTGTACGAGCTGGTCCCCACTCTAAGCCACTCATTCGCGTCCACAGTGGTTTGTACTTGAGCCTCCAAACATTTTTGGGAATCTCCTATGTCTGCTTCCATAAACACGCTGACTGGTAAGTAGAGTATTTCACCACGCTTCACATGTACTGGTAAGGTGATATCGACGTAGAATGGCATGCTGACGGTCAAAGTCTCAACATTTGGAATCCACAGTCCGTTGGATTGTGTTGTGCAGAATGCGGAAGCAATCCAAGTGGTTATGGTATCTGGTGCGGTGAACTGCTTTATGATGTTCGGTGAGTTAAGCTTATAGACCTCGAATTTCCATACTTCCGGAAAGAAGCTTCGCAGCCACATCTTTGATTTCATGGATTGTGTATCGGAAAGTTTCGTCAAATCACCTTCCTTCTTCTTAAAACTATTACTCGGAAAATGAGACTTCATAGGTAAAGGTTCGTTCAATTCCGCTGTAAAGTAGCACATTGGTATGGACGGCTCAATAACATCCATTATTGTAGATGAACTAATGAGTAGACCTGCACTTTGAAATGCCTCCATAGAATTAGTGAGCATTGGTGACGTTCGTGAACCAGACGTGGTTAGCTGCTGCATGCGATTGGCAACAGAGAGGCGATCAATCGCATTTTCACCCTGGTCGAAATTTTTCAGCGACACATCGGAGATGCGGACAAAGCACAGCCCCTCAGTCTCATCAGTCGTGTTGTATGGCACACGTCCGATTCCGGTGGGGGCGATCACCAACTGGACATCTTGACCAGGACTGACGCGAGAGGCATCAAACTGCATACCTTTCTTACCAGACTCCACCAACTCTGCGACTGAGCGACTGATACATTGATACATATTCTCCAGTTTCACCACGGTTGGAACGACAACTTGCCCCGATTCGCTGTTTTGATAGAAATACACAACCACGGTCGCATCCGGGCCCCAATCTCCGGTTAGGTTGAATTGAATTTGCCGCGTAAATAGCGTCCGCACTGGCAAGTCGGTCGATACTGTGTCAAATTCAGATGGTTCACTGGATTCGGTGGCATACATTCTGGACGTTTCACTTTCATCCACTTCTGGAATTCTCTCGTATTCCACAAGCTTCCTATCACAAAGATAACCGCCCCAACCAGCATCGCATTCACAGTCATTTCCGTTGACGCATGTTCCATGTTTACAACCTTCTAGCGGAGCACAGTGATCACAGTTGGAGCCGCTCCAGCCCTCAAGACAGATACATCCATTCGGCACATTGCAGGTACCACCCCGCGGATGGCACTCCGCTGCACAAACAGGCTTCAAACAATTAGCTCCAGTCCATCCTTGGAGGCATTCGATACGGTCTCCCGTGGGGTTGAGGCAACGATAATGCCCTAACTCTCCGTCAACATCTATACATGGCTCTGATCCTTTAGAAATTGCAGGTATAACGTGAGTCAGAATTTTCCCCCTCACATTGGACTGAATATGGAACACTTTGTCAGCCAGCTGTGTGTTCGCAATCACTTGGAAACTCACCTCGCCAGGACACGCGTACTGAACGGATCCTTCCGTCGGCCACAACTGCATGACCACGCTCTGTATATCGCGCCATGGTCTGAGCACTTCGCTAGCCACCACACTGTCATCAACTGGTCGAATGTATCGCAAACCCGGTGCTATCTTCTCGGTTATAATTCGGTCGCTCTGATTGACATCGGTGTGAGTAAATTTGATGACGACGGACTTTGTAGAATCAAGAGGTGGAATTAAAAAGTTAGCTGCGCCAGTTTCGTTCAAGGTCAACAGTGCAGAATGGAGATGCTTTGTTATTGACACCCGACTGCCGTGTCGAAAACCCCACCCACACCCTTCGGGCTGTTCTGATACCACGAACTTCAACCGTGCGTTCGACAATTTAGGTGCGGTGAGGAACCCGGTGATTGGAAGTCCAACCTTGTATACACTCTGTATTTCCAGTTTCGGTTCATCTGCGCGTCGCATCAATTCCTTTCCGATTTTGCAGTCAGCTACATTGGATTTTGTACCGTCCTCTTCCACATTTGCGCATACAACTGCCACCTGATTCCATTGGGAATACTCTGGCTTGTTCAATCCGAGTGGCTGGGTGGACACGTTGAACAGGGCACATCCAGTATCGTCGACTACGAGCTGGGCAATCGCGCATGGTCGTGGTTTGTTTGAGTATGCTTCAGCCGAGCACATGCCTCCATCCAAAATGGCTTGTTTGGTATTCTCCTCGGCGGATTCATCCCGTGGTTTCGAGCAGACACACAGATGGGCTCGCACAAATCCTTGCATGGGTGGACCGTTTGAGTAATTAGAACACACGGAAAATTGAGCATAGGTAGACTCGAGTGACAGACCGGTTGGGGTATGAATGGCGATCACAAAACGCGGTAATACATAGTGACGCACCATGAACCGTAAGTTTTCAACCGTATCCATTACTGTGGCCGTGATGGTCCATTCGCCTTCCGGTGAATCCGGAAGCAGTGTGTAATTGAGTTTGGTGGCGGTTAAAGGTGTGATGTTGCGCCACACTTTGACACGATTTCCTGCACTGTCTTTCACGGAAATCTCATGGAATTGAATCCGGTAATTGTCATCCTTCTCTGTCGTTACATCTACCAACTGGAGACTGCCATCACTAAGCTGGATCAGCTTTCTGCGTGGATAACTGGCTGGTTTGTTTGACGGTGAAATCAGTTGGGTAGTCACTGCGATGAAACGGAAACGAACGGTGTCACTGGGGCGGTAAAGTGGTTTGTCTGTTTCCCCCAACACGATGATAGGCCTGTGGATAAAGCGAACTATCTGGGTTAGTTGCCTTTTGGTTATCACGGAACAAGTGGTATCGGAGCAAAAATTCACGGTGAAGTCAAAAGTCACCTCTTGGGGTGATGACGTCATCGGTATGAAGTTCGGGTGGTACGCAATAGTGACACCATATTGATCTCCAGTACGCTGAATAACGTGTGTCTCCTCATGAAGAATTTCGTCGGATAGCTGTGGTATACTGGTGCGCATGGTTATGTTCGAAGCGTCCGACGTAGTCCACACTCCAATGATATTCTCCTCCCCAACTATCACATTAGGCGGCATGGTGATAAACACACTCGGTTCTCCAGAGCAAGTGGCCAGAAATAGCACATGAAAGACGGCGCACAGGATGACATTCATCTTCGCACTGCACATTTTCAAACTGACGGGTTGAATGGAACAGAAGGTGTGATAACGACCAGAGCAAAGTGAAATGTTCTGCCCGCATGCGACTGGTTGATTCATGTCAAGCCAATCAGCGTGCAGGCTGTTACAATGTGCCAATGACAGTCACATCTCCTGAGCGACCAGTCTGGTTTTACGCAGTGCAGTTGTGCTAACACGTTGTCGGTGGTAACACGTTATTTGTATTGCGATAAATCACTACTTTGCATTTATTTATGCAACGATATGGTCCCATGCAGCCGAACGTGAGGTGTGGTGCATAAGCACTACGCGCAGTCTAACCAAAAAGGCCTAACTGTGAGTTTCAAACTTGACGCCACTTCGTTTCTACGAGTGTTACTGTGTGGACGTGCAGAGTCGATTGACAGAACCCTAAATACATAGGAATATGTGTGCAATAAATGTTTGTCCTTCTGGCAAAGGTCCTGTTGCAAGATGTACGGAAAGTTATGACAGCATTAGATGAACCGGATGAAGTAATAGTTTGTGACGGGTATAAAAGTGAGTGCTTGACATATCCCGAAATGTGATAAGTACAAAATAAATTTGAAAAAACAGTTAGTGCAGGAACGAGTGAAATACATGACTAGCCAAGGCGTGTGGAGTAACTCATGTGTGAGTATTTCTGCCTGGAGTTTAGCAGGGTTATGACACAGTCCACTGTTTGTTGTGCATCACTGCCATCAGTTGATGGTCACGGGCCACATCATGTGATGCAGGTGTGTCAGAGAGTAAGTACCTTTGCGTTTTTTGAAAAGGGATAAAGTTTGGGACATTAATGACGTGTGCCGTGAGGACGTTCCAGGACGGTAATACTCTGGGGGAGAAATGTTTCGTCCACATTCCAGTCGACTGTGCTGTGTCATCAGCTTAAACTGATGACCCCTTAGAGATGTGTGTTAACTGTTTCAGAAGAGAGTGGCAAGTGTGGTTTGGATTTCTCAAGATCTGATACACCATTACGAGATCGCCCCCTAGACGCCGATAACGTCAGCCGTATATTCTGAATGTTTTCAGCCTGAATGGGTAGGGAAAGCGAGATAAACCTCGGATGATCTTTGTAGCCCTGTGTTGTGTAGTATTGAGCGTGATGAGATCGTGCCTCAGCCAGAGCTTCTACGCTTGGACAGCATATTCCGCATGCGGCCTCACGGACGCGCTAACTATTTTCAGAAAGACTGAGTCGTCAAACTTCCCGAACGCTGTACGAAGAAAGCCGAAGTGCTGAGTGGCCTTCTTTGGTGCTTTTTCAGTCTGCTTCAAACAACCGACGTCAACTTGAACAAGCACACCGAGATCGCACTCATAAGAAACCTGCTGTAGAATTTATCGTCCTAGGCGGTAGTTGTGAATATTTTGATGACGTATGCTCAAAACTTTGCACTTGGTGGTGTTGAAGTACAGTGTGTTCTCGATGGACCATGCGTACGCTTTGTTCAGGTCATGCTGTAAGGCTGTGTGGTCCTCCACTGTAGCTATAACACGTCATACCCTTAGATCATTGGTAAGTGACAGAGAGTTTGAAGATACCACACTTGGGAAATCAGTTATGAAGACCAGGAACAGGGAAGACCCGAATAGCGAGCCTTGAGGTACGCCGCACTTCGATTGCTTCCGACAGGGTGCTGCGTACCATCTCATTCAGGTGACGTTGTACAGGATAGTCGCCTATCCAGCCCAGAACGGGATCTCCGATTCGATATTTCTGGAGTCTGTGCAGTGGAATGCATTGGTCTAGATAGTTGAATGCCTTGGAATAATCCAAATAGGTCGCATCGACTCCTACACCAGCATCCACAGATTCCGTCCGGCATGCACGAGCGAGTAGCAGGTTAGCAGTACAGGACCGAGGATTTTTACTCTCCAGGTACCCCATTAAAGCCTCAGCTAAGATGGACTCTATAACCTTGAAGATCACAGGAAGTAGCGTTATCGGGTGATAATTTTCTATTTCAGCACGGTTACCACCTTCGTAGATTGGCGTGATGATCCCGCGTGTTTGCTATGACCTTTGCTAATTTAACCTTGCGGAGAGACTACTACAGGCGAAGAAAGATCAGTGCTAGTTGGGAAAATCATTAGTCTACCCAAGTGGTTCGGTACCAACGAATCATTTGTATAGTCCATGAAGGAATAATGCAAGGCTTTCTGATTGACTACCGATAAAACCAGACTTGATAGTGTCTCGTCCACAAATGATTGATCAGGGAGAAAATTAGCAAGCAACAATTATGTTTGTAGACCAAATAAAACGTATCTCTGAGACGACAAAATAACGGCATGTAAGAAGCTGAGTTTTGGAAATGTAGTAGCATCATGTGAAACAACTAACGCCTCCAGTAGAAAAATAATAGAAAATCTCACCCGCTTGCATTGATTACAATGTAGCAGTCTGGATTACAGTTTCTGAAGAAATATGTTACTGTGATAGATTCCAGAATACAGCGCTCATGTAACATACAAAAGGACGCTGAGTACGATGTTCATATACCTTTTTCAGATGGATAAACCGGAGGTACGAACAACTGAGTTGGGAAAAGTGTTCCAGTTTTGATATACCAAAAAGACGGAGTAATTTCGTCTTTAAACTAGACGGATTATATTGTTCAAACTGTTCTGTGGAATAACCTTCCAGTCACAATCAGATCGTCTGAGAGCGCAACGGCCTTTCGCGTTAAGCTAGCCAACTACCTAGATTTGAACGTGATTATGACCCAGTCCTTTTAGGAGAGATCAGTTGGTGATTTGTACCAAGAAGGGACAAACAACATCTAATGAGTGAAACAAACAAATAATTTCATACTGTGTGACACATCCCTAGTGCTGTTACCATCCCCTAACCCAACTAGTGCACATTGCGTTGAGACACCTATAAGTTAAAACCTACCCTTGAAACAGCAAAAGCTATGAAAATTACACTTCTGTTTGCCATTCCTGCATGAGTATGACATATTCTGTAAAATATGCTTTGTGCCAAATATGGCCACATGTTCTCACTCACCGAGAAATATAGCTATTATTATTATTATTATTATTATTATTATTTTCAAAGGTGGTGGATCACGTGATTGTAGTCGCTCTGTATTTATTACCTAAATATGAGATTTCCACGTAGCCGTCATCAGACTCTACTCGACAAACCGAGTTTCTTCAACCGTTTTTAATACAGAGGACGATACAGACTATTGATGTCCTTCGCTGCCGGACGTCGTGGGTCTTGAGAGCTGCGAAGCTCCGCTTTAGCCAATGTTCCTAAACCAGAATAGCATGTTCAACGTGGTGTCGCATGTACGGACTTTACTTTGTTGTCACCATGTTTACCTTACGGTCTAAGTCTTCTGGGTTGCAATAAACAATGATTTATCATGGATAAAAGGGCATTTGCTTAACAATTCCCTTATGATGATTGGGGTGAAAAGTACAAAGTCAAATATTGAGTGAATCCTCCGTTAAAGCGTCTACCCATGTAAAGACGTTGCCGTATACATATTTTGTTGAATCCAAATATAAGGTGTGCATACTAAACCACATTGGAAGCAGTTTAAATCGACATGTAGCGTGAGCAAAATAGAAATAAGATTGCTCGTGAATATACCGCATCCTTGTGTCCAGATGACACCTGAATACCGCATGGGGGCATAATAAATGTGTTCCATGGTAGCATAGATTATGTAACATTGTCCCGAGAGCTAAAAGCAATGTTTATTCGCTTTTGCAAATAGCCGAATTAAGAAGGAGACAACTGCGTTTAGAATAGTTTTAAGATTGGCTAACACGAAGAGCAAAGTAATTCCGTCCGCCTTCTATACGACTATATTGTTTACTCAGGTTCAGGCAGTTACCTCTGAGTTTAATGCTGTGACTGCGTTTCAGCAAATGGCAGCATATGTGGTTTGGTTCACACAATATTTGATACAGCCAGATGCAATTCTCGCCTATCCATCGGTAGCATCTACTAAAATTGTTGTATCTTCAGTCTTTGCTGGTAAGACAAAATGCCTAGGCACTTGAAATTCTTTGTAGCTCCGCATTGTCGTGTTCCTATTACTTCGAGGTAGCACTTCAACCAAGTTTGCCAAGCTTGGAAGAGGTATTCATTGTGAGGGTGCAAGTAAGAATCGTGCATCAATGGGAAGATTGATGGTTCAAATCTCCCGAATGCTCTTCGAAGCAGACGGACGTGTGGGCTGTCTCCTTTCGCAACTGCGTCGCAGTTGAGGCCAATATGTGCTAGAATGCCAAGGTCAAGTTCCTGGGAACTGGTTTGCAATCTATCCTTCAAGCTTATGCAGGTAGTCATGCGTATGTCGTAGTTGAACTACTTGATCATTTTTATATTGTATGGTCATTTCGAAATCGCGTCAGAATCGCAGTGGAACGCTTCCTAGCCGTCCCGTGCGTGATCGTTCGACAAGTCTTGATAGTAGTTGCGAAGAAGAGAAACTGTGAGGCAACTGCCCTAGCTAGCTCGTTACTGAAACTCAAGAATAGTAAAGGCTGTAGCACCAAGCCTTGTGGCCCACTGCGCTCCTCCGCAATTGCGTTCGAGAGGGATTCTCGGATCCCCACATCCATCTGACATTCGTGTTGAAACTTGCATATTTAGCGCAGGATAGGACTTCCAATAACGAAGCTGAAGCTTGCAGAGCAGAATCCGATGGGCTAAGCGCGCAAACTCTTCTGAGAAGTCCAGGTAGATGGTATCGACGCCTACTCCACCATCGAGTGCATCAGTCAACCTATTGCTTGCAATGAACAGGATAAAAGTATATGAGGGATTTTGCGGCATCCATGTTGCTCCGGGGTTATTATGCTGTGTTTTTTCAGATACCGAAGCAAGGCATATGCAACGACTGATTTTATAAGTTTGGAACGCACAGGAAGCAGCGTTTTTGGACGGTAATTGGTAGCGTCAGTGCGACTATCTCCCTTGTGAACAGAAGTAATGACCCCTCGTTTCCATATTAACGCCGATAGAAAAGGTTCGGTAGTTCTGCCAGAAGGTGATGTTGGATAAACCTGGTTAGCGCCGGAAGGTATGGGACTAATGGTAACGTAAC